CATGCACCGGGCTCGGCGCATCACGCTAACTGCACAGTATTTCAAATCAAACTTGAATACATGTTATCTATCGCATCTCACATGCCATTCATAGATTAGCCGAGCCTATTCTAGTAACATTTTGCATGTGTTACATTAGCCATTTCAACATGAACTAGGATCAGGCATATGATTACTAACTAGTTCACTGTTTTGGCACGGAATACGATGTAAGTATTTATGCTTTAGCATCTCGCATGAGTGTGAATGTTAACATGACAGCATGCTCACCATGCGGCTAGATGCTTATGTGATATAACTACTTGAATGTCTGTGAATGAAGGTTGAATTACCTAAGTTGGAATAATGCATTAAAACTGTGAGTTTTAAGCCCACTAGATAGTGGCAAAACCATCTTTTCTAAAGCTCACTTAAGGGTGGCAAAACCTGCATTTTAGCCTACTTGCGAGTAGCAAACCATTTTCAAAACAAACATGCAATGTTTTGTTCCAATTTAGGCGATTTGGTCTATACTTGTTTGCTGTGCGCATAACATAATAATTCTAGGCTAATAACCGGATAAGAACACATACCGTTTTCAAAATTGGATATCATGGTTAGTAGAGGCCGATCTTTGATCGGGCGAGCGGGGGTGCTCATAGTTGACCTTCCTCAATTGTACCCAAGTTCCCGAGCCGAGGCAACTTTGGTGATGACGGACACGTGGCCTTTGGCACCGAGTCAGGGTTTCCTAAATTTCCCAAAAATAAAATATTTAGGTGGCAACTCTGTATCTGGCAAAGCAGTCCATGTTTGGCACTTCTTTTTTAAAAATCTGTTTTCTCAAAACGATTTGCCGGATTTGGACTTTTTGGTTCAGATTAAGAACCGTGACAATTCGAGTCCGAACTGTAGCATGGGGCCCACGGGCACGTCTACACCAACATTCCCTTCTGTCTTTATATAACTGATGAGAAACCAAATGCAAATATGAAGAAGAGGAAATATCATTTTTGCCCCTTAAACTTTTACGCATTTTTTAATTTGACCCCAGATTTCGATTAACATCAATTTTACATTCAAACTTTCGAAATTTTGATTAATTCGGCCACTGCCGTCACATTCGTCTACAATTAAACGGAATATGCTAACGTAATACCAAAGTTCATTTGAAAGTTTGGGGGCCAAAATAATATTTTCTCTATGACGAATGTTGGTGACATTTTTTTGTCTTCATATCTTTTTAATCCCTTGATTTTTTGTTACCAAACAAACACATTGACTTTATGGGAGTACACAAGAACGGCTAAATTCTGTTTGGGCTTTAAGATTTAACCCATTAATCAATACAATGGACTAAAAACTTCACCACAATTGGAGTTTTTATCAGCACATCATAAAACTTTTCAATTTAGAGATTATTTCATTTTTATCCCTATACTTTGTCACGGTTTTCAATGATTCTTTCAGACTACTCTTATTTTCACGCGTATCCCTACACTATTTAAGTTATTATCAATTTTGCCCCTACCGTCAGATTTGAAACGGAAAAAGTTAAAAAAATTACATTTTGGCCCCAAATTTCAAAAGAAAGATGCAGACCCGCCCTTTTTCCTACCAGCAAACCACTACCAGCAACCACCACTTCTAGCCCTTTTATGTCATTTGTCATAACTCCGTTTCGCCTCATTTTTACGTCGTTGGATTCAACTCATGGTTTAGTTTTCATATCACATCTCACATGTCTCATTTTTTCTCTTTTTGTATGCTATCGGAGTTCCGAAAGTTGATAAAAAAAAAATAACACTTTTCTTCAAGCCATCTTTCGGACTTCATATATTTCTCAATTCTTGACGCTTCTACTTCATTCTTTCGCCATTCTCTTCACCTCACTTCCTACTTTGCCTTACACTACCTCACTTTCTCATTTCTTAGTGTAACAGGCAGTTTTGGTATGCCGAAAGTTGTCTAAAAACTAATTTCAAAAATTTCAAAATATTCATCTTTTGTTTCTTTCTTCTCCATCTTCCTCATTCTTCTTCTTCTTCTTCACCTATAACATGATGTGGAACATGGTTCTAGGTGGTAACGGAACTAGTGATGCTGGTGGTGGCGGTAATGGAGTTTGGTGGCAGTGAAGTTGGTGGTTAGGGTAGTGATTTTCTTCTTTTTCTTCATTTATATACATACATATCATCTTTCCTACTTGAATTTTCTCAGTCCATTTGAATGGAACACTGTATCCATTCAGACTTGGATCGTAAATGAGATGCAAACCTCAACTATTTTCCCAAGAACAAAAGAAATTTGCATTGTTAAGAAAAATCTTATAGCAAATAGCTGATTTTGTATTAGAAGAAAGGTTTTGTTGTTATAGCCATTGATGTTGAATTACAAATTAACGACCACCTATTAATTTCTCTATTTGCTATGACTGTTCTATCATGATATGAATTTAAACATGTCAAATAAGAGTTTTTCTCTCTATTGAATATCCTTAGGCTTTCTCCGGAATTACACCTATTTTGAATGCAACACCATACACATTACAAGCACTCAACCGCCTGCCTTGTCGATTGAACTCACAAATCAAAATGTTGAAAGAAATCTTTGTGGGGACTGAACTTCCTCGACGCATGAGGACTAATACCGACAATGCCTTCTCCACTCTTCCCATGACACAAAGTGCTCGAATGACATTGTTGAAAGTGATATTCTTCGGGCATATGCAATCTCAACCATCAACTTTACCAACATCACCACCTGAACCACCAACTTCACTGCCACCAAACTCCATTACCGCCACCATGAGCATTATCATCACCACCACCTTACAACACCAAACCCACCTTTTTCACAACCAAGTTACATTACCGCCACCATGAGCATTACCATCACCACCACCTCACAACACTAAACCCATCTTTTTTACAATCAAGTTCCATTACCGCCACTATGAGCATTACCATCACCACCGCCTTACAATACCAAACCCACCGCCATCGCTGGACTGCCACCACCACCATCACCAGTTCCGTTACCACCTAGAACCATGTTCCACATCATGTTATGAGTGAAGAAAAAGAATGAGGAAGATGGAGAAGAAAGAAACAAACGATGAATGTTTTGAAATTTTTGAAATTAGCTTTCGGACAAATTTCGACATCTCAAAACCACCCATTACACAAAGAAGTGAGAAAGCAAGGCAGTGTAAGGTGAAGTAGGAAGTAAGGTGAAGAGAATGGCAAAAGAATGAAGTAGAACCGTCAAGAATTGAGAAAGATATAAAGTCCGAAATATGGCTCGAAGAAAAGTCGAAAACGGGAGGAAAAGTCTTTTTTTTTTAATCAACTTCGGAGCTCCAATAGCATGCAAAAAGAGAAAAAACGAGGCGTGTGAGATGTGATATGAAAATTAGACTGTAAGTTGAATCCAACAACGTAAAAATGAGGCGAAACGGAGTTATGACGAAGGAGATAGAAGGGCTTGAAGTGGTGTGTTGCTAGTGGTGGTTTGCTGGTAGGAAAAAAGTGAGTCTACATCTTTCTTTTGACATTTGAGGCCAAAATATAATTTTTTTAACTTTTTCGGTTTCAAATTTGACGGCCGGGGAAAAATTGATAGTAACTTAAATAGTATAAGGGTACGTATGAAAATAAGAGTAGTATGGGGGGTCATTGAAATTTTTGACAAAGTATAAGGGTAAAAATAAAATAATATCTTCAATTTATGAATAAAAGTTCATAGTTGGGATATTAATTGCTAAACAAAATCCAGTTCGGCACTTGGCATCAAAATAATTTATTTTTTTTTATTTTTTTTCTAGTAATTGATAAACTTCATAGGTCTATTTGGTCGTGTTTTTGTGTTTCATGTCTATAGAAATAGAAATAATGAAAAAATTAAAAACACCCGCCATGTAATTTTTAGTGTAAATTATCAATAGATCCTATAATTAGACTTAATTTTATCAAGTCTTATTAAAAATAAATTCTAATAAAATTGTCGCTAAAGATAATTTTTTTGTGATAATTGTTTTACATATGTTGCTAAAAATTGACTATTAATGACTTTTTTATCACAATTTTTTTAAATTGTCTCTAAAATTTACAATTAGTGACATTTTTCTGTGACGAATTTTTCAAGCTGTCGCTGAAAGTTGAAAATTAATGACGTTTTTTGTGACGATTATTTTAAACTATCGTTAAAACTTATCCTTGTGATATTTGTTGTGACAAAATTTTTAAACTGTTGCTAAAAATTAATAATTAATGATATTTTTTAATAGTATTTGATAAAAAATACTATTAATTATTATAGAACCTATTAGATAATTAGTCCATTTAGTAAGACTTATACGTAAGTTTTACTAATTTTTATTCTAAAAAGTTGATTGTCTTTTTTTTTTTTTTTTTTTTAATAGTTGATATGATAGTTTTTTTGGCACAGTTTAGAAATAGGTAGGTAAATGAGGTTTCTCTGTTTCCAAAAGATGAAAATAATACCAAGAATGCCCTAATTCAACCAATCAGTAATTGTGTCAAGGATGCAACAAGATAAAATTCTTTTATTGTGAAAATGCTATATCATTCTTCTTCACTTAATTTGCCTTTGAATCAGATAGTAGGGTATATAATTTATTTCGATAAATCATGGTTTTTGCCATTTCCAATCAATCTCAACCATAAAGAAACACAATAGGCATCCCAACAACAAATATATGATTATCTTCCAACAACAAAAATTCCAATAATAAGTGATGAGTAGTGAGGATCAATACGGATCCCTAGATTACTAACCAATGGAATTTTTTTTATGACAATTACCGGTTACAGTTAATGCTAATTTGTTACATTTTGCTCTATTATGAAATTTTTTATGGTTAATACATATTGGCAAATACATGGTAGGCAAATTTTAAAGAGAACCAAATATGAATAAAACAAGAGCATGAATGTGTGGTAGAAAACATAATCAAATACATCATTGAAGATAGGATGAGATAGAGAAGCCAAACATACCAAATTTTTGGGTTTGCTGCAAATGACACCTAAGTGTAGAATGAAGAGCTATATACATTGAATTTTCTACATTTGAGCATCTGATACAAAGCACATGAACACACCGCTTGTTCAATCTGGAGGTCCAACCAATTCCCACAATCTAGAATATGTATTATATGTGCAGATTTTGGGGCAAAACCATAGCCACATCTTAGAGATCAATTTTAAATTTTACCTCTTCTCTTATAATCACATGGAATACATATATATTGATAGATTTGTAAGGAGGGAGAGAATAGAGAGACTGAACTGAAGAATTGGTGTTGTTGTATTGTGTTTCTGTAACTTACAAGAGAGTGAGCTCCCTCTCTTTATAGAGAGGGGAGGGAGACAAATGGAATCGGATGCATGGTGATTACATTGAGATAGGCTAAAGCTAAAATGAAAGTCTCCGGCTTTACAGCTACATTACAGGTATACATTGTGGCCTTTACAGGTAGTGGGGTGTATATATATATATTATATGTGCCTTTACAGGTAGTGGGGTGTAGTAGATATTATATGTTAACATATATATATCTGTGCAATTTCTTTCAGACAAGGTAGAATGCAAAGAATAGGCAACAACCACATGTTGGAGCTAGAGTCTTCATCGCTTTCGTTTGTAGCACATGCAGAATACTTGGAGAAACCATTGAGCCAACAAACAGAGGCCAAGAGGTTCAATTTGTCTGTTGCAAATAAGAGTGAGCGTGGGTCGGTTGTAATCACGGAATTTCTAATCCGCCATCCGTCCACCAGATTGGCGGATTGAAGAAAATCAATCCGCATCTGTCCGCCAATCCGGCAGATGTGGATTGACGGATGGATGCGAATCGGTTTGGCGGTTTAAAATTTTATCAATTTTCAACATAATTCAACTTGTGTACTTCCTAAAAAATAAGTATTACAGTTAGAGACTTAAAAAAGTATTACAATTAGTGCATGTATGCCTCTGTATTGTTACATCTATATCTGTTTTTAAAAATAAAACCAACTAGCATATATCATCTTTTTTATTTATTATTTTTATAGTTAGATTTAAAAATGAAAAAATATAAATAAATAATACATTTATCTTTTTCAATTCAAAAAATATACTCAAATTGAAAACTTTTTTTCAACAGAATATTTAAAAAAAAAATTCAATTGAAAACACAAAGTTTTAGAAATTACTAGGGGTGCTCGTGGTTTGGCGGTTCAGTTATGGGCAAAGGAATGTCAAATCCGCCATCCGTCCAAAACTAGGCAGATTGAAAAAAATCAATCCGCAACCGTCTGCTCGTCATCACGCATCCGTCCAAAATGCAGTGGATCAGTTCGATTCAGTTGATTTAGACGGATCGATACATCCGCTGCTCACCTCTAATTACAAAACGTTAAAAACGCATGCCATAAAAAACAAAATCCTGACATCATATCGGTGAGATTTGCTCTTCGAAATGGTGAAATTTGTTTTCTACTTCTATTGTGTATGTGGATGATTTGCATCCCACGTGTGTAACCAAAAAACTGCAGCAAAAATCTGCAGGGAAAAGCTTTGGAAAATAGGCAAGCAGCAAGAGTACCGATTTTCTTCTATTTTGTGTGTGGATCATTTGAAGCCAACGTGTCTATCCTCAAATCTGCAAGGAAAGAGTAAGAAACCAAGCAAGCAGCAGCAGCCTTATACCACTGTTACATACTTTTATTTATTTATTTATATATAGGTTATAGATATATGTTACAGATGTCAAGTGGTGGGTCTCATTTTTTATTTTTGAATTTGTCTCTAATTTTATGATTGACTTTTATGTTCACATACCAGAATTATTGTAATCATGTTATAACTTATGTGTCAAATTGTGATTAAAATATACTAATCTTGTGTTTGATTAGAAAATTTAAAAAGATAAAGAAAAAAAAACAAATAAAATATTAATACAATATATCTATCTTTCACTTAATATTATATATATATATATATATATTTTAAATCTCTTTTTAAATCATTCAACTAAACACATGGTAAGACAACATAGCAAGAGGCAATACTGAGGATCCCACTCCCTTAGAAGAAAGACAAGGGAAACCCGGCAAAAAGACCAGACAAGGAGGATCCTGGAAAAAATCTTTGAACGGCAAATAGATAATGACGTCATTCACGCATCATACACCAAAAGTGAAACAAATATAAAAGAATAAGATTATATTTACTAATTAATGTACTAACTAGTATACTAACCAATAATATGACATAATTTTAGAAGTTTTGGGTATTTATAATTTGTATAATGGATAAAGTCAGTAATAATGATATAACACTAGTTGGTACACTATTGTGTACATTAATTGGTGTATTTGACACCACTAAATATAAAAATGTGTAAAATTTAAGAAGTTTGTTGCTTATAGTTAAAAAAGTTTTAAAAAAAAAAATCAATTTTTCTACTAGTAAAAAATAATTTATTATAAAAAAAATTAATGTTGTAGGGATAAATTTAAAAAACAATAATAATGGATTTAATTGTAATGAAACAAAAAAATCAGTTATGGCATATAAATTGTAAATTTTACTTAGAAATGATGCCTCCGTTTGGGAAGTGGATTGGCTTTGTAACTTTTTGGCTTTTTTAATTATTTTAGCCTGGGCTAAAAAACTTAGTTTGAGAAGGATTTTTTGACTTTTTTAACTTTTTTTTGTGAGAGAATAGTATAATAATTATGGGTTGAATGTGATGTTTTGTTTGTTGTGGCTAAAATAACATATTTTGTCTTTTATGACTAAAATAGTCCCAAACCTCCTTGCCTGATCCGTTTAGGTTTCCAATAATAGGATGAGTTTGGAGTGTTTGAATAGGATAGGTTTGGATTTGAGAAAAATTTTGAACAACTCAATCTGATTTGAGGTGAGAGCAAGAGAGAGTATTTTTTTAGGATAATATTTGGTGGCCACAAATTATGTAGCTTAAATGGCCCGAAAATGTCGAAAAGGCATTGTTTTGACATTTTCAGAGTTGTTTTGTACCCAAAACGACGTCGTTTTGACATTTTCGGACCATTTGAGCCACAAAATTTGTGGCCACCAATCATTAACCATTTTTTTTTACCTAAACTCAATCCGACCAGCAGATATAATAATAAATAAATAATAATGTTGCATGTTTACTTTTACCTATCCATATATATATATATATATGTATGTAATATTAGTACAATTATCCGTGCTATGCACAAGTATAAATAAATAATTAAAAATTAATTTTTAAAATTAAATAATAATCTAAAAAATTTATCTAGAATATTTAGTAAAAATAATTTAGAATGAATTAAATTTTATTCATTTTTATCACAATTACATATAACAGAATTTTTTTTATTCTTATGTCATTAATTGTGTGCTCTAAGTTCTTAATAACAAACACATGTCATAATTTAATTGGTAAAAATTAAAAAATAAATCACAAATTATATTTATGATAAAATATAAACACATTTCGTCTTATGAGTTTTGTAAATTTAATTTATCATATGATAGTGGTAAATTACATTTGTCGATATATTAATTTTTTCATATTTTGTAAAGTCTAAAAATTTTTCTAGCATCAAAATTATAATTTATCTTATGTTATAAGATTTACATAAAAATAGATTAGAATTCACTTGTGATATTAAATTTAGGCTTAACAATTAAAAAATAAATCACAAATTATATTTATGATAAAATATAAACACATTTCGTCTTATGAGTTTCGTAAATTTAATTTATTATATGATAGTGGTAAATTACATTTGTCGATATATTAATTTTTTCATATTTTGTAAAGTCTAAAAATTTTTCTAGCATCAAAATTATAATTTATCTTATGTTATAAGATTTACATAAAAATATATTAGAATTCACTTGTGATATTAAATTTAGGCTTAACATTAGATTTACGCCAACTTGTCCTTTACCTAATCATTAAAAATTATCTTTATCTATTCCCAACTTATATGAATCATTTGACATATCTATTTATTAAATTAAATAGATATTTGTAAGTATTTTTTTATAATAATTAAAAATTTTGAACTTAGTTTAAAAAAAACTGCATATTTATGTTTAAAGCAATTAAATGAATAGTTATATATATTTATGGATGAAAAAATTATCTGAGATAGAGCCACCCTAAATTGTAGATCATATTCTAGTCCTAATAAATTTAAATTTTGTCATAGCTTATCAATTCTTGAATGAAATGAGCAAATTTGGAGGGTTTTAATATTGGATTAAACACTAAAAAGTAGTTAAAAAAATTTAGTTCAAGTTGATTTTTTTGCTAATAATTCTTGATTTAAGTCTAGTCCTTGGAGAACCGTGTAGTTCATGTCCAATCCATGAGTTAGTAGACCTACCTATTTATTTAATTTTTAATTAGTAATTATATTTTTTTAAAAAAATTATAACAAAAATTGGAATTATATACATATTTGTTTGGTATATTTATTAACAATTTTAAAATTAATTAAGAAATTATGCAGTTATTCTTAAAATAATAAATTATATTGGTAGTCCTTATATTTTAACTCTTGTGTTATTTTTGTCCTTTTAATTTTATTTTGCTCAATTTTGACATTGAATTTATAATTTTGACTCAATTTGGTCTAATTAGTATAATTGTTATTTTTTTTTATTATTGAAAATATACACATGAGTAGCATCTGTTATACTTTTATAGACAAAATTATAAACTTGTTAAACACTCAGTAAGTTAATGTCAACCAACTCAATAACTATTTTATTTTAAAAACCTTAACCGACATTATCAATTGGACCAAATTGATATATAATCTAAAATTAATGGTCAAAATCAAACAAATTAAAATTACAGAGATCAAATTGACAAAAGAGACAAAATGCGGGGACTATCGATATAATTTACTCCTCTTAAAATATGTCTAATATTGATTGTATCAATATAAAGATATATTTATATCTGAAAAACTATTTAAGACCAGATCAGACTGGAACTTGAACAAAAATTGATAACTTATTAAAAATATTTAATAATTATAAATTTAAATTTGATCAATTTTTGATATTTTTTTGGGTAATAGAATTAGGTTATTTGATAATTATAATTTATAGTTCAAATTTTTCTTTTTGTTTTTTTAAAAATATTTTTAAATTATATATAATTATAATTTCTTTTGAAACTCTCCTTTTCAATCTCAAATTAGTAATAACTTGAATTATATATAAC